TTTGAACACAAGCACACACTTAAGCACACACACACACACACACATACATACACACACACACACACACACACACACACACACACACACACTTGCAGTAACCTGAAAGCCCAAATGGCTGTTATGTAACAGTACTCAAGAGAGTCCCGCATGAGAGAACGCTCCTCATCAAAAGTCCACCGTCACTCACCGGTCCCACAAAACACACACACACACACACACACACACACACACACACACACAGCAAACAAACGCAAACTCTCGAATGCGCTCACACAGACGTCTGTAGCTGCAGTTTACTTCATATTCTGGATGTAAAACAATCTGAAGAGTTAGATGAAGGAGAAGCTTCACAAACACACACACACACAACAGTGAGGTCAACGGGTTCATATCCCGAGCACTGCTGGAGCGGGTCAAGCGTAAATCCCACACTGTAGATGAAGAGCAGAGCAGAACCACACTAGAGGCAGAAGCTCAAGCTCAAGCCCTGTGTGTGTTCAGACTGACTCACTCTGGGGGTGTTGGGGGCCGTTTCTGCCCCACTCACTGACATTACCATCACATTTATTAACCACACAGCCATGACAGCAGATAACAACACATCATTATATTAATATCATATTGAGAAGAGGTCAAATTATTAACACACACACACACACATACTTTAAAATGAAAAAAAAAAGAATTCACAAACAAAACAAACACACACACACGAATACTGTAAAATAAATAATACAAGCACACGCACACACACACAAAAACTAACTAATAAAATTGACAAAACACACAAAATAAAACACACACACACACAAACAAAACCCACACAAATACAGTAAAATAAAGAAAATGTGCACATGCACACACACACAAACACACACACACACATACTGTAAAACTAATAAAACGCACACACAAACAAGCAAACACACACACACACAAACACACACATACAGTAAAATAAAGAATATGTACACACACACACACAAACACAACCACACACAGACAGAAACATAATCAAGACCACACACACACACACACACACACACACAGAAACACAATCAAGACCACACACACACACACACTGTAAAATTTATAAAACACACACTTACACACACAAACACACACAAAGAAACATGATCAAAACCACACACACACACACACACACACACAGTCACACATACTGTAAAAAGGAGAAAATACACACATACTGTAAAATGAATAGACACACACACACACACACACACTCTAACAAAAAAACTCACAAATACATGCAGTCGCACACACACAGACACACACACACACACACTCACACACACGCACTGTAAACTGAAGAAAACAGCACAGCTGAGGTTTGTTATTGGTCTAAAGTTTCTGTTAAACAAGGTTTCCAGCATCATTCTTGGCCAGCAAACACACCAGCCTGAAACGCTCTTCACACACACACACACGCACACACACGGAAGGACAATGAGGGATGTGTGTTTCTGCTGATCTTCCTCCTTCCGCTCACCACAGGCAAAACACAAATCAATATATGAGATAGCAGAGCAGAGAGCACTGGCCAGGTGCAGGGCGAGCACACACACACACACACACACACACACACCTGAGCTCCTGCCAGATCCCGCATCTGCTCTTCTGCTCGCTCTGCTTTTGCTTCATTCAGGCGAGAAGAAAAACAGGCTGTGAAAGAGGAGCACGAGTCCAGGAGGAAGAGGCTTTCAGAGTGTGTGTGTGCGTGTGTGTGTGTAGGTTAGTGTGCATATGTTTGTTGGTGTGTGTCTGAGTCTGTTAGTGCTTCTGTGTGTGTGTGTGTGTGTTTGTGTGTTTTTGTTAGTGTGTGTCTAAATGTGTTAGTCTGTGTATGTGTGTGTGTGTGTGTGTGTGTGTGTGTGTGTGTGTGTGTGTGTGTGTGTGTGTGTGTGCGTGTTTTTGTTAGTGTGTGTGTTTGTGCGCAAGTGCTTCTGTGCGTGTGTGTGTCTGTGTGCGTGTGTGCTTGTGTGTTAGTGTGTGTGTGCACATGCTAGTGTGTGTTTTTTTGTTAGTATGTTTGTTGGTGTTTGTTTGCTTGTGTGTGTTTTTGTAAGTGTGCGCTTGTGTGTGTGTGTCTAAATGTTAGTCTGTGTGTGTTTGTGCAAGCGTGTATGTGTAAGTTTGTTGCCTGTGTGTTTTAGTGTGTGTACGTGTGCTTGTGTGTGGTTTTTGTTAGTGTTTGCATGCCTGAGTGTGTTTGAGTGTGTGTGTACATGAGCCTGTTTTTTTGTTAGTGTGTGTGTGTGTGTGTGTGTGTGTGTGTGTGTGTGTGTGTGTGTGTTAGTGTGCGTGCATGTGCTTTTATATATATGTGTGTGTACTCAGAACACTTCTGGGTTTTTGGGTTAAAAAGTGCCAATTAAATTGAACTAATAAAAAACAACCCAACAATGTTTAGTGTGTGTGTGTGTGTGTGTGTGTGTGTGTGTGTGTGTGTGTGTGTGTGTGTGTGTGTGTGTGTGTGTGTAAAGGCTCAGTAGGGAAAGCGGACAGTGCAGGAATGTCAGACATTTTATGACTTTCATTATTACGCAACTTCTCGCCTTATTTAAAGAAAGAAAGAGAGAGAGAGAGAGAGAGAGAGAGAGATCAGTCCAGGGAATATGGTTCCTCAACATGGCCACAGCGCAACCCAAAACAAACAAAAACAGGAAGCGAAAAGCCAGCACACCGGGCGCGATGGAGATCATTTAAACACGGTGGTGAAGTGAAGTCAGTGACGTAAAGCAATAGGAAACGCGTTCGGGCATCTGATTCGCCGTAGTTTCGACACAACTGTAATTAAAACACTATATTAATCAGACACACACACACACTCCCAGAAGAAAACCCGGATGGCCCGGTTCCGTTTACCACACCGGACCGTTATTCCCGCGACAACACAACGACAGAAATGAAACAAAAACCGCCGATTTAACGTCAACGAACGAATCAGCACTAAGATAGATAGATAGATAGATAGATAGATAGATAGATAGATAGATAGATAGATAGTAAAACCATGGTAACGTTAACATCACACACATTCCGATGTAATGATGGCCACGGTGTGTGTTGTGCTCTAATTTAGGCGAGCACCGCTCTAATGTTAAACAATAATCATCATAATAATCATAAATCAAAATAATCCAACAGTTTAATCCGACATGAGTGACTTACTGATGCTGCTGTGATGATGGTGATGATGGAGATCCGCTTCGGCTTCTTCAACACAAACTCCAGCTTCAGCACACACACACTTCAGTCAAAACCATCTAATCTGAGGTGTGTGTGTGTGTGTGTGTGCGCGCGTGATTGAGCGGCTGGTGTAAAGAGGAGAGTGCTCGTGTCCGTTCAGCGGCTCGTGATCCGCGGTTCTGAGCGGTTTGCCGGTTTGAGAATGGACACGCCTTTTCCTCTCTCCCTCTCTCTCTCTCTCTCTCGGTTTCCCAGTCACACTGTCTGAATCTGCAGCCTCACACACACACACATTTTTCGGGCCTGATGTCACTTCGCTATCCGGTCAGATAATCCCTCCTCCTCTTTATTCCACACAATCCCACATCCTCATCCGCTCTCTCTCTGATAAATCACAGCCGCTACAACACGCTGAGCAGAGCTGCACTGCCGGACGAATATGAATCGCGGACATTAATGATGTGACAGCGGTGACTGAAGTCAATATAACGGAATTCCAGTGGTTTGCATTTCGAAAGTGAATGGAATGACCCGCGCGCTGCAGTACCGCATCTGTCCACAGGGGGCAGACAATGGCGGATAATTTTGGCTTCTATCTATCTATCTATCTATCTATCTATCTATCTATCTATCTATCTATCTATCTATCTATCTATCTATCTATCTATCTATCTATCTATCTATCTATCTATCTATCTATCTATCTATCTATTCATCAATTTATCTGTCCATCTGCCCATCTATCCATTGATCTGTCTGTCTATCCATCTGTCCATCCATCTGTATGTCTACCCATTTTTCTATCCATCTGTCCGTCCATCAATCTGTCTTTCTGTCCATCCATCCATACTTCCATCATCCATATATCTATGTCTGTTAATCAATCCATCCGTTCATCCATCCATCTGTCAGTCTATCCATCCATTTATTTATTTATCCATCTATCTGTTCTTGCATCCATCCTCTGTCCATCCGACCACCTATCCATCCATCCATTCATCCATCCATACATTCAGCCATGTATTCGTCCATCCATCTGTACATCCATCCAGCTGTCCAGCCGTCCATCCATCCATCTGTCCATGTATCTACCCATCCATCCACCCATTCATCTGTCCATCCATTTATATTTCTGTGCATTCAACCAGTCATCCGTCCGTCTGTCTGTCCATCCATTCATCCATGCATCTCTTCATTGATTGATCCATCCATCCACCCATCCATCCGTTCGTCCATCCGTCCGTCCATCCATCCATCCATCCATCCATCCATCCATCCATCCATCCATCCATCCATCCATCCATCCATCCACCCGTCCGTCTGTCCGTCCGTCCATCCAGTCATGTATTTGTCCATCCATCTGTTCATCAATCCATCGATCCATCCATCCGTCAGTCCATCCGTCCTTCTGTCCGTCCGTCCAGCCATCCATCCATCCATCCATCCATCCATCCATCCATCCATCTGTCCATTCAGTTGTCCATCAATCAATCCATCCATCCATCCATCCATCCATTCATCCGTCCGTCCACATATCTGTCCATCCATCCATGTATCTACCCACCCATCCATCTTTTATCTTTCTGTGCATGCAATCTTTCATTCATCCATCGGTCTGTCTGTCCATCTGTTCATCCATCCATTCATCCAGCCATCCATGTATCTACCCATCCATTCATCCATCCATCCATCTTTCTCCATCCAACCATTCATCCATCGATCTTTCTGTCCAGCTATCCATCTGTTTGTCCATCCATCAATCCATCCATCCATCTATTCAGCCATGTATTTGTCCATTCATCTGTCCATCAATCCATCCATTCGTCCATCCTTCTGTCTGTTCGTCCATCCATCCACATATCTGTTCATCCATCCATGCATCTACCCATCCATCCATCTGTCTGTCCATTTGTTTGTTCATTAATCCATCCATCCATCCGTACATCTGCCCGCCCATCCATCCATGCATCCATTTATGCGTCCATTCATTCATCCATCCATCCATCCATCTGTACATCTGCCCGCCCATCCATTCATCCATCCATCCATTCATCTATGCATCCATCCATCCGTCCATTCATTCATCCATCTTTCTGTCCATCAATCAATCCACCCATGTTTGTTTTCTTCTGACCGTCTGCATTGTTTATTGAAAACAGGTTGTGTTTTTCATCCCACAGAAACAGCACTTGACCTTGGACATGATTAAACTGCACAGCTCCCCCGAGACTATAAATCTACCACAAAACACACGTCCACTATTGATTCTACATTCATGACACTTTAATACTCCACTGAGAGGACGGTGTGAACGCATTGCCCATCCTTTAATTTTACCTTCAGACAACGCTAATCATTAGCACATCTTTAGACCTCATATACATTTCCACACATTTCAGATGTAATCGCGTTATAATGTCAGTTATTTCTCATGTTCTTCTAAAGCTTTGGCAGCACAATCTGTGCTTTAGTCATGCCACTGAACTCAGAGAGAGACTTTGTCCTCCTAATCACAGCGCAGGCCATCAGGCAATATTTGCATGTAATATTTCAGCAGCAGCAGCCAGCTTTATGGAAATTTCAGTGGGAAATTGGAAATGCAAATTCCTCCTTCATTGATATCATTGTAGCATTAGCACAAAGTTAGCTTTTAATTTGCTCTTTGAAAGGGATTTGTAAGTGCATGGAGGAGGATTTATCCACTGTGCTGACGGTGGCAGTCCGCCATGCTGCCGTGACCCAGTTTGCTTTGAGTCACATCACGCGTGTGCGTCTGCGTCGACACACACGCCGGCTGAACCTGCACCACATCTGGCCCACAGGGGGATAAAAACACTAGAGTAACTAATATTAAACACTGTGGTAAAACAGGAGCTATTGGGATTAATCTTGTGGTGATTCTACAGCTGCTATGGTAACACAACAGCTATAGTGATACTTCTGTTGTGGTGATTCTATAGTTGCCATGGTAACATAACAACTACAGTGATTAATCTGCTGTGGTGATTCTACAGTTGCTATGGTAACACATCAACTATAACAACTGATCTGTTGTGGTGATTGCACAGTTGCTATGGTAACACAACAGCTATAGTGATACTTCTGTTGTGGTGATTCTATAGTTGCCATGGTAACATAACAACTATTGTGATTAATCTGCTGTGGTGATTCTACAGTTGCTATGGTAACAACAACTATAGCATTTGATTGGCTGAGATCATTATACAGTTGCTTCGGTAACACAACAGCTTTAGTGATTATTCTGTTGTGGTGATTCTACAGTTGCTATGGTAATAACAACTATAGTAATTGATCTGTTGTGGTGATTGTACAGTTGCTATGGTAACACAACAGCTATATTATTTGATCGGCTGAGGTGATTCTTCAGTTGCTATGGTAACACAACAACTATAACAACTGATCTGTTGTGGTGATTGCACAGTTGCTATGGTAACACAACAGCTATAGTGATACTTCTGTTGTGGTGATTCTATAGTTGCCATGGTAACATAACAACTATTGTGATTAATCTGCTGTGGTGATTCTACAGTTGCTATGGTAACAACAACTATAGCATTTGATTGGCTGAGGTCATTATACAGTTGCTTCGGTAACACAACAGCTATAGTGATTAATCTTGTGGTGATTCTACAGTTGCTATGGTAACAACAGCTTTAGTGATTATTCTGTTGTGGTGATTGTACAGTTGCTATGGTAACACAACAGCTATAGTATTTGATCGGCTGAGGTGATTCTTCAGTTGCTATGGTAACACAACAACTATAGTAATTTATCTGTTGTGGTGATTCTACAGTTGCCATAGTAACATCACAGCAATAGTGATTATTCTGTTGTGGTGATTCTGTAGTTGCTATGGCAACAAAACCTCTACAGCAATTAATCTGTTGTGGTGAATCTACAGTTGCTATGGTAACACAACAACTATAGTGATTAATCTGCTGAGGTGATTCTACAGTTGCTATGGTAACACTAACACACTTTACTATAGTATGGTTTAAAGCACTATAGTATTCACTGTAGTATGTGAAGAGGCACAGTTGATATTTCTGTCTGCTCAATAGTACTTCTGTCATCATGTGCTGACTTATGGATTCATTATTTATCATAGCTGGGGGCAAATATGCATGTGTGTGTGTGTGTGTGTGTGTGTGTGTACGCTCAGTTTGTGAACATGCAGAAAAACATGCAAAGACATCAACAAAACTACACATCCATGCAAATTAGAGCCAGACCCTGACATCCACAAAGCTGACGTATATAAAGCAGTGTATTTGTGTGTGTGTGTGTGTGTGTGTGTGTGTGTGCGCGCCTCAGGAAACGCTCTAATAGGGAAGTTCTCTCTCTCTCTCTTCTCTCTCTCGCTGTCACAAGACCCACTCGTTCACAGCGCAGAGAAGAAAGAGACTCACAGAAGAACTTCTGAAAACATCCTGAGGAAACACAGACATAAAGAGAAAGTATACTGAGAGAGAGAGAAACTGCAGAGGGAAAACAAGGAAGAAAGACTTTTTGGACTGTGTCGATTTGTTACGCACTTCCCACAAACCAGTCCCATAAACAGAATTAAAATAATGTTTTCTAGATGTCAGTATAGTTTTTAGAGTGAATAAACATCTAAAGTTTGCAGTTTGTCTCTTCTGCCAAAATAAATCAAAATTTTTTTTGTCACCTCATACTTCAGTTTCTTATCAAATCTTCTGACCAATCAGATAGTCTCTAGTGTATGATATGCCACGCCCCTTTGTCAATTGATGTTCATTTAATAAGCTTGAGCTCAACTGCTCTCACTGGCGGAGCTGTGAGAAAAACAAAACATTATTGGCTGGTTTTATAAGGGGAGGAGTTACTACATGCCCCGCCTTCTCTTTATGTTTCAGTTGAGATTACGTCATACATTGAATTAAAAAACAAACCAAAAAAAGGGCACAAATCCCACATTTGTTTAGTTTTTGCAATATGCATGTACTCTTACATGCAATAAAGTAATCTCAAGCAAATATTGAACACTTTATTAAAAATGCTCGGTTGTCGAAAACCCAAAAGATGTAAATGTAATTAAATTTAATTGAAAGCATTTAGTTTTTCTGAACCATACTACAGTAAAGCACTTGAATCAACCTGTTATAGTGATTCTACAGTTGCTAGGGTAACAGAACTATTGTAATTAATCTGTTGTGATTCTACAGTTGCTTTGGTAACAAAACAACTAAAGTAATTGATCTGTTGTGGTGATTCTACAGTTGCTATGGTAACAACAACTATAGTAAATAATCTGTGGTGATGGTGATTAAATAGTTGCTAT